CGTCCTGGCCACCCTCTTCATCCTGAATATGTGCGTCGAGTTCCTGGCCTACGTAGGTTCAGAGTGCTGGTGTGGATCGTGTAAATAAAATTGTATTTTTTAAATTTATGAACAATTTTGAAAAGCACCTGTGATTTTTGTAATTTTCAAAAAAAAAACACAAATAGTTTTTTGAAATTTCGAATAATATTTAAAATTTTGACCTTATAAACAATATTTCAACATATTGAACATTGTTTTTGAATAGGGACTGTTCGCCTATTTACATAAAAAAACTAACCCATTCCTTCCTCTTCTCTGCTCCTGAGATGTTTCTCAAGAAAGAAAGAAAGAAAAAACTTGATGAGTCGAGCAGCGCAGCGCCGGAGTTGTCACCGTGGTCGCGCGCTCGTGAGCAGGGGGAGCCGTACGGTCACTCGTCGTCCGTGCGTGCGGTGGCCTGAAGACGAGCAACCTCAGATGCGGGGGGCACGAGGAGCCAGCCGCCCGGCATGGCGACGGCAGGGGGTTGCGCGCGTGGTCGCGTGCAGGGAGGTGGCCTCGTCAACATCCAGCTGGGCAACGACGTGTTCCGGTTGAACCGCGTACCGCGGCGTGGCCGGCTCCCTCTCCTCCGTCAGAACTCAGAAGCAAGCAAGGCACCGGGTTCAGGTCAGCAGCTCTTGCCTGCTTGCACGCCAGGTGCTTGTGCTTATTCCCGTACGTTTCCCCTGCGTTATACTAGTTGCTCGAGTAGCTATAGCTTGATAGCTTATACTAGCTTATCCCTGCGCGGCGGCACGCCGTGCCTATCGATACCGTGTGACTATATGGATTGTATTTATTTTTTATAATAAGTGCTACTACTTTAAGATGACTGATTATTGTATGTAAAATAGTGGATGTAGGAAATAAGATGAAACGAAGCAAATTTATTGCCATCATGCATCTTGCATATTAGGCTGGTCACAATGGGCAAGAACATAAGGTAGTAACCTACACACTTCCCTAGACTATGTTACTACCTCCATAGTGGGTAGGAACATCTATGTAGTGTCATGTAACGATGTATTTATTAGGTTATAGACTCATTGTTTCTTGGAGTGTGTGATGTTCCGGTAACTTAGCTAGTTACCACAAGCACCTCTCTCTTCATTAAATATGTGCCACATAAGCAAAGTTGTATTGGAGTGTGTGATGTTACTCTTAAGTTCCTCCCCGTTGTGACCAGCCTTACTAAACAGATCAATATGCTATGTGTATATGCCTTTTTTTATTGTGTGTGATGGAAAATAAGAGTTTCATGAGCATACGATATGTGATCATAATTTTGTAGTCACAAAAGCATAAGGCATGCATAGGAACAATTTGGAAGGGATACATTTATTATCACCGTGAGTGCTACATCTTGCAAGATGGTAAGTACACATTGCCATTTTTTTGAAGCAGAACTGAACATTACATTCATTTGTAGCTTATATCATTCCAGTGGAACCTCCCGCAGGATTAGTACCTGCGATGAAGTGATACAAAGTCTTTGCAAAATGCTGCATGTGACCCAGGTGCATAGCGCTGTTGTATCCAACAATGTATTTGAACAAATAAAAGAGGCAGCAATATTACATGCATTTGGTTCAAAATTGACTATCGTGGCTCTGCCAGTACACAAAAAGGTGAGTGAAAGTAGAAATAAATTTCTCAATCAATCATATGTCCCCTCTTCCCTCCCATATATTCTTCTCTTTTGTGTTGTTAGATAATGATTTTCATGGGAATGTTTCATTGCAAGATTTCATATGCAGAGTTCCATTTGTTAAAATAGTAGATCAAATAAGGTCATATTGATTGGTATCAAGGACTAAAGGAAAATATCAAAGAATGAACTAATACATGGCAACATAAGTAGTATTAATTAAATGGATATTTCTTCAATTTACATAACAATTTTTTAAATGGAAGCAAACCTTTTTGGTCTAGTGTATATTCTAGTCATAACTTTGGTAACCACCTCGTAAATTTTTAGAATAGTATGACACGTCGAAATCATACTCCATGCTATGTCGAATGATAACATTCATTTCTTTCAACAATCGATTGTGGTGGAATGCCAAAAAATAGTTGTACAGGTCCATATGAATAAAAAAGTAAATAAAAATGAATGACTTAGTAACTGAAAAATAACATTATTTGGGCATACATGCAAGCTATAGAACTTACTTATGAATAAGGGAAACTATAAGTGCTAAAATGTAAAATGACTGAAGAGATAAGGTTATCCTGTGGTGCTCTCCGCCTCTGTGCGGACAGAATAGCGTTAGCTCGCATTCGTCGGCTTGCCGGCGTGAGTTACAGAGGAGCAGCCACACCATAGATCCCCGCTCACGGCCACTACGCGCACCATCTGCCGTCGCGCCGCGAGCTCCGCTTGGCCGCGCCCTGCGGTAGTCACACGTGAGCTCTGCCGACACCCAGTGCGCACGGTCGACCTGCGAGCCACCTGCACCGCGTTGAACCCCACCATGGCCTCGTGCTCGCTACCGCAGTGTCGCACGTGGCCAGCGTTGGCTGTCGCCATGACTGCGGAGTGGGGCAAGATCCACGGAGCTGCGCATGGGGTGAGCATATCGGCCCGTGTTGCTAAATTCTGGCTGGCTATCGTTTGGGCTGAGCGGCAGATATGGCGAATTTCAACACCTCAGGTGGCTCAGGTTCGGTTCCTTTACCTCGCTTGTTGTTTTTGGTTGTTATGTGTTTCCTCGGCATGTTCTACCTGAATTGAGTTTCCCTGGAGAGTAATGAGCTCCTATGTGGACGCTAAGAATTAGAGACGTGTATTTGAGTGCTTGACCCGTTTCGTAAATAAGAGTAGTGATCAAGTTCTTATAATTCGAGGCGGCCCGACATTGTTATGTAGTTTCCTAATAAGAATAGTGATCAAATTCTTATAATTCGAAGTGGTCCGACATTATTATGTAGGAAAAAGAAACTTACATGCTTTCTAGGTTGATGGACTGGTGCTTTCACCGTGCCTGACAGAGAATCAGGCAAGTGGTGGATGCCTGCATGCAGTGCTAGCTCAGATTGTAATACTGGTTAAATCAACTCATAATCAATGGTTAGAATCTGGCACTATAAATTAAGGTGACAGGTTCCTTGAATTGTATGCCTCGTTTACATAATGAATACTTTGCACAGGGAGTTCTAACGACGTATTATACAATATACAAGGAGCTATGGGATGCTTGTGCTAGACCGTTGATCACAGTGCCTCACAAGGTGAAAGGGTTTACTACTTTCCACATGGTTATATGGAACAGGTATGTTTCCACGCATGGGTGTCGTTTGTTCTTCTTGACGCCCCATAACTACTGAATTCGCTACTCAGCATAAACATCAGCTATTTGTGTCATGGGACACTTCTTGCTTCTTATGTTAAAATGGCAATATGGCTTTGTTTATGCAGAATAATCATCCGGATATTTAAAGATCGTCCATGTACACATTTAGAACATGTTAGGGCCCTTGTGAATGCGCACTTCTCTAATATGGTCATGTATTAGTTGACAAATGGGCTATCGGATGGTACCACTTTGATACAGTGCATCCAGCCTTGCAGGCCTCACAATATGTCCATTCGCCAAGCTTCATTGTGATGCCTAACTAACTATTTCACAAACATCTTTGGTAATTGGTAAACTGATTTCTTCCAGCTGCCCAAAAAACAGATTACTAATAGACATGGAGACTGTTTAGTTGTTAAGGCAACTTTACAAATCATTTTGGGAAGGGACTAAACATATTTACACCAGTTGAATGCGAAGAAAAGAAATCATCATCTACTAATACTCCACTAAATGAACTCCAACAATTCACATCTCTAGTATTGTATTATACATGTCAAAGAATGACTAACAGTACTTATTCCTCTCTCGAAGTTGTCAAAGAAATATAACCAGTAGAGAACCTGGAAGGATAGTGAGCTCTAAACTCCAGATATCTAAGGGGGTAATTGCCTATAAGATAGGACTTGCTTGGATGCATTTCATAGATAATAAATCTGTAAAGAGTGGTTAGGAGGCAATCCCTTTGTAAACTGATATAACACCGTCTAGATCACTACTTTAGTGATCTAAAGTAGTAGTCTAAACGGTCATATATTAGTTTACAAAAGGGGTAACATACATATCTAAACATTTACACTTCATATCATCAATTCAGAGATAAGACCGAATAGTGTCTGGTCAGATTTCCATAGCTGCAAAAAGCTTCAATAATCTGTGAACTCTGTAAGATAGTAATATTAGAAATCCCTTATTCTATTGATGTATTCACATCTAACGAAAGGAGATACATGTCAACAGGGAAGAAAAACCAACCATCAGTTGTGCTAATGTTACCTCTCCAGAGTGGCCTTAGTCCAAAGACACTACTTGGAGTAAAATTTAGAGCACAAAAAGTTTCAGTCAACTGGTGAACGCTCTCTGAAGTGTAATTTAAAAGATATAAAGTGGCACGGGAAGAGTGGAGCGTGTCCAGCTGATTGAGATCATCTCGTGAAGAGTAGTGTTTTTGCCCTCTTATGGAGATTTGAAAGTGCAATTACCCCAAAGAAGTGCAGTTAACTAATGAACACGTGTTGTAAGCAGGTCCAAGTTCATTAGTTTTGAAAATCAAACAAATCAGTGAAAGTCCAGTAGTGTTGGATTAGTATATGATTATATGAATAGACGGGCCATCTAGACTAAGCAGACCGAAACCAAAAGCAAGAAGGCACAACACGCACTGTCTGAAACTATGCAGGGCTATCTAATCCTTAACAAAAGTAATGTCACCGCCGGGCTCCTGTGCGAGCATCACAGAAGTGATCGTGCTCCGGCGATGGTGACGCCGTCATCGTCGTCATTATCGGGGGGTGCTGCTGCCGCATCCGTGCTCCCGAACATGGCGTCCTACTACATCCCGAGCAGAGATCGTCCGGTGCAGCCCGCAGCCCATTGATACCGGAGCTGAAGCTACAGCTGATGCTCACCATGCCCACGGTCGACGCCACAGAGAAGTTCATCCAGGAGGAAGAGACCTCGGGAAGCAACAGCCCGTCGCCGACGGCCAGGGAGCGGCGGCGCCGCGGCGGCTACAGCCTACACGTGAAGCCGTGCGGCGGGCTGAAGAGGAGGATGCCAGCTGCAGACTCCGGTGGCGACCACCGTGCCGTAGAGGCGACGCGCGAGGCGCTGGCGCTGGCTGCAGGAGAGCCTCGTCGTGGTAAAGGAGTCAGGGGACCCGGACTTCCCGGCGATCATGGCGGAGATGATCACGCCGCCGAGCACAACCACGCCATCGTCGCCGCGTTCCGAACCACGGCGTCGTGAGCCCGCGACACGCTGCTCCGCTCCAAGGCTGCGTATCTTGAGAATTGGGATGTCCTCTTGGGCTCCAGCCACTGCCGGTGCAAAGGACCTGGTCGCTATGTCCGAGGCCGGCATGGGAAGAACCGCGGCAGAAAAGGACGCTGGACGGGGACGACCGGACGGCGCCGCCGCCGTCGCTCGAGGAGAGCGAGAGGGGGCCACGGCGGATAGGGAAACCGAGCTCGATGGTGGGGTAGGCAGGGCTAGCCAGGCAAGGCAGGAGCATCAGGGGAGCTTTATAGTCACGTACGACGGTGGAGCGGTGGCGTCGGAGTCATGCGCTCTGGAACCAACGATCAAAACGGCACCAAGAAGAACACGTACGCAAGGAAAACTCGAGAGAACACATGGTTAGCGCCAGCGATTAAAAGAAACAGTACCAAGCGACAAGAACAACCAGGAGATGCGATCAACACGGCGCCGCTGTCCACGAAACATAAACAAAGCAAAAAAACGCTAAACTTACACCAAACTTACCAAAATAAACTGTACGCTAGTTCAAAAAATTTGAGAAAAAACACCGAATCCACAACGCATTTCTACACCCCCAGGTCCCAAACTAATACCACGCGTCACAAAAATTATACAACATACATCACTTTCACCCAAGTGGCCGATCCTTGGAGCGAAAAAGCTCCCTGGAATAGAGGCTTGGGTATTATGGGATGGAAGGAGTAGTAGGTTACCGTGTTTGGTGGCATCACGATGTGGAAACATCCCTAGAAATATTATCAGTAACGGCCATTTTATCGACGCGCACACTAATACGTGAAGTGCCGTCCAGAAACAAAACTATCAGGCATCATGTGAAGAAAGCGAGAAGATGGAAAACAGACAGCCTTTAGAACTCGTGCACTTAGACTCAGTGGTTCTTGTAGGATTCGCCATGCCTGGTTCGAAGAGGCAAGCTAGGAACGCCTGTGAAGTTGTGGTGCGGCCGTGCTGGACTCACCCGGTGTGCCCAACATTGTGCCCCACCAATCACCACCCCAGAGGAAAGGTTGACGGGATCTCTGACTCTACAGGCAGCCCCACGGCCTCTCGGAGGTCTGGGCTTGTCGTCGACCTACTCCAGCATACACAAGCATCCACTTCCGGCCCCACCCCACCGGTAACAAGTGTACTAAAACTGCAGAGCACAGGAGACCCACGTGGTGATCCGGGCATGAGGGAGCGAGCCATTTCCTGTGGAGTGGTGGTAGTTGTTGGTCCCCTGGAGGTAGTCGTCTCGTCGATGCGCTCAGGTGTTCGTCCTTTGCAAGTCTCATAGC